AGGGAGCATCACCAGGCAGTTCGCCACCATGCAGTTCTCCCCCGGGAAGTTCGCCACCAAGTAGCTCATCACCAAGGCACGTCACCACCAGGTCAAACACGAGGTACTTAGCCAAAAAATTTTACACATCCCAAAAAATGGTACGTGACCAAAAACGGTAACATCAGGGTCGTAACATGTGGTCGAATTCCAATCAAACCATCACATGAACTTTTGATAAAGTGTAACATGTGGTCGAATTGAGGACCGCCACACATCCCAAGCTCAAATAACATAGAGAACAAACAACACTGTCATTGCGGAGGCAGACATTAGTGCACACCACAAACATTGAACGAAGGAGGGATACATAACAAACACCAAACGAAGTCAGCTACATCAAGTTCACCCCATGTCTCTAAACTCCTCAACCCCCTAGCTTGTGTAGCGCATTTTGGTTTCCATAAAATCCTCATCCGGACTCTTGCATGAGACGTACGAAAACATGTTGAACATCGATCAAGGGTGATCCCGTTACATAATGTTTGTCTCTCGAGCGAGGAGCACGATGGTGTTCACCCCCAATGAGTTTTGAAGGGTGTTTTGCCCAAGATATTTTTTTTCTACACTCAAGCCCTCTTACTATTTGGCTCTCTTGCTCTCTAGCTTTCTAACTTGGCTACAATAAGTTCGTCTCAACCAATTAAGCCTAATTAATCATCATCATAACTCATGTACTAACATTTGCATCAAATTGCTCCTCCCTAGGAAACCACTTTCAAACCCATAAAAGAGGTCACTAGGTGGTATTCATCGTCGAATTATTGATTGGTCAAATCTCTTATAGAACCATGTTTCTCTTGTATAAGATTTTCCCTTTTCTTAAAACACTAACATTACATGTTTCTCTCAACAAAGAACAGTAGTAACTCGTGCAAAGTGAGGGTAAACAAGTGGTTTACCCTTAACGCCTTAGAATGAGTGTTTGATCATCAAATATTGTGCCTTACAAATGTGATTTTTATCATTGATGCTTCCAATCAATAAAGTCTTGAAAAGGTATTTCAATAATTGTATTTTTACCATTAATTCCTTAAAGGTTCTGTTTGGTTTGTCTGATGAGATAGGAAAACATGGGATATATTTTGGTTTTCGTTCCATGCTTCTTGGTTTGTGAGACGTAATGAGATGGGATGAGGAAAATGTGGGATTATATATCCCAACTCTCGAGATGTAGAACTCAATCATTTTAGTGGGAAACAAATGGGATGGAGAAATAAACTTGTTTTTTTTTTAAAAAAAAAAATCCTTATAGTATTTCTAAGAGTTAATATTAGACCCATAACCCACTAAAAAGTTATTAATTATTTAATAGCATATTAGTAAAAATGTCAATTAATTAAAAGTAATTAATAATTAATGAAAAAATACAAAATGAAAAAAAATACGATTAACTACTTAATAAATAATTAATTAATTAATAAAAAAGTTAAATAATTAATGATTAACTAAGTATACACGGACTAGTAAGTGCATGTGCTATGAGTGTGTGTGTGTATGCAATAAAGAAATTGTCTTATTTTCTATTAAGATTTGGTTAAATGCAATGGACTATGTACAAACTAATTGTTTTTCTCATAACAACAATTTCCATGCTATTCTATGAGAAGTTTCATTAAACTCTCTATTTACATACTCAAAACACATATCTTCCAATTCTTTAATTATAGAAATTAAACTATCCATATACACACGCTCAACCCAGTTGCTTCTCCACTCATGTAAAATCTTTTGAATTAAACTAAGTGCATTGGTAAAAAAGGGCCACTCTATTATACCTCCACCTTTTTAATGGATGTTGTTCTCCCCACCCATCAAATTAAGGTTATATTTAACAATATTCTCACTTGTTCTTATTCTTTTATTAGAAATTTTTGTGATAGAATAAGAATTTTATTTATTGTTCCTCGAGAGCAACAAAGGCGTTGGCTAATTGTTTATGGAGAATGGATTTTTGTTTTACAAAAATAGAAATAATGTTTGGATAACGAAACTATTCATGAAACAAGATCTAATTCAACACTTCAATCATGATTCTCACATCGAAGTTACTTACTTCATGAGACAATATCTCTGCAGTAGTAAGAGATGTTTCACCAAATTGGCATATAGTAGCTTAAGTTCGTGAAGATAACAACAAAAGAGTAGATGCGTTTATGAAGAAAAAACATAGCATGGAAAAAGCTTTAGGACCAAAAAAATAGAGCATACAAAGTTAGAAAAGAAAACCTTACCTGTCTATGAGATTACGACCGGAAAATGGTCGTTGAAGACGATAAACTGGTCATTCGCTATCGATCCTTGACGCACAATGGTTTTGCAGCGGGAGCATCGGGAAAAAATGATGAAGATTGCTCGGGGATTAAGGCTTGGATGGGTGGAGAGTTTATATCGTCAATGTGAAATGACAATGTTGCTCGTTCTCTCACGTGGGAAGGGCGGATACCATGGTTTTTGAACTGTGATTGACACGGACAATCGGACTGTTCGGCCTGGAAATCATCTAGGAAACTGGTTCCGTTTTACTCCAAACCCGGTCCCTGAGGGCAAACTGTCAACCCGTCAACTTATTCAATGGGTTTTTGTCGTTTTTATTTTTTGTATTTTTTAATTTTTGTTGTCATAACAAGCCATCCATTCGAACTGGACGGTCATATTGTTAACCCGAATATCGATGGCCAGAATGGTTCCGTTTCCGTGTTATTTTTTAAAACCATGGCGAATATGTGTTCATAAATAAAATGGGACGATGTGAGAACTACGTGTGTCCTTGAGAACGTGTTCTCCAAGAATGCCTATTTGCCACTCTCGAATAAAACGTTTTTGGGTGTTGTTCTCACTTGGGAATGACTTGTTTCTCATGTTTTTTATTTTTTATTTTATGCCAAACATGTTTCTATTCCACGAGAGTACCGGGAATGAGAGAAACACTTATGCAGAACGTTGCTAAACAAGTCCTAACTTTGCCTTCCATGCAAGGTTTTTAAAACCAAATCGAACAACTAACCGTTCAGGGGTCCGATTATTAGGTCGAACGGTCCGATTGTTCGAACCGAACCGACAACCTGTTCTAACAAAAATTAAAAAAGTTCAAAAAACATTGGACGGTTCGACCACCCATGTTAGTGTTTTGCTGGCCAAAAGAAGGTTTGGGGGTAAAACAGAACCTGTCATATGACCATTCCCAATTTTTTCCAGTCAGATTTTGAAAACATTGCTTATTCAACCCCCTTATACTATATTTGATATATTTTTTTTAAATGTATATATATATCAAAGTATTTGTCACTACGCCACAAAGGCTTTATTCCCATCACCATAACAACATCTTTTTGATAATTGGATGCAGATTTCTACTAAAATGCATTTCTGATTTAGAGTAATCTATTTTTCTGTCCTGCTTTTTCCACAAATTATTGTATAACCTCTTCAAGGGTGTGAAGTTGTTTATTTATCCGCTATATAAAAAAATTATACAATTATCCACAAAGAATAAGTAAAGACTTAAACACTATTCATTGCTATTAAGAAGCCTTCTTTAGAGCCCTTATTTCCTCCTTCCTATATAAGAGTTGTCAATGCTTACTCAAATTTGTATTTAACTTTTATGACTTGCACCAAAACTAACGCAAGGATCCACTTTTCTTTTGGCTGCGTTTGGTTGGAGTGTAAATCTGAACCGTTGCAAATTTGCACTTCGGTTCAAATTTGCATCCGTTTGGTAAGCGTTCAAAAAATGCATCGATTTTTTATTCAAAAATGTATATACACCCTAGTTTGCATCGAAAATGAGAGAGAATTCTGTTTTCAAAAAATCGAAGTAAAATTTGTTATATTTCTTGGTCAAAGTAAATGGAACATAGTTTTGCATCCATTCTCAAGTAAAAGAGAGAAACCCTCGAAGAGAGAGAAAGAGAACAGTTCTGAGCCTCGACAAAGATAATGATCTCTACTTTCAATTTCTGAAAATGAGAGATGCAACTCTATTCTTCAATCTATTGATCCCTTAGAGATCTTACTTCGGTCTATTCGGTTTCTATAACGATCTCTACTTTTGATTTTTTTTTTTTTTTTTTTATTTCATTGAGGTCATTTCCCTCGTCGAAATAGAGATCTGACCTTACAATGAATGTTTTCTATTCCAGTTAGTGGATCAAATAGACTATATCGCTTTGACCGAAGCATGGAAGTTTTCAGAAGTTAAGCACTTATTACTGTCTTCGAGATGTGAATAGCGAAACCACTGAACCTTACTTTCGCTCCAACGTAGCTATCACCAAAACAACCGATTTCAAGTAAGCATACTCTCTGCCTCCACTCCTTTTTGTTTCTGCAAAATCTCTTTAGACCGTAGATTCTATCTTTATCTTTGGGTTCAACTTATCAGAGATAATTTTAGATTTTTTCTCTTCATCTCAGCCACACAATCAAGATGTTTATTTCTTGCCAATTTAATTAAATATCTTAAATGTACAATTCTTTTTTTGTAGATTAATAATCAATCCTTTTTTTGTAGGGATTTATAATTCTTGTCATTCTTCAGTTTCTCAAGTACAACCTGCATTCCGAGGTTCATGTTTATTGGGTTTACTTATAGATTTAAGTTTTCACTCGGTAGGGTTAGGGTCTATTGTCTCTTTAGTTTATTTAGGGTTTGATATGCTAATTGAACTAGGGTATTGGAGATTTGATTGTCTAGATGTGATTATGATTTTTTTATGCTTTGGTTTGGGATGTGATTATAAAATTGAGTTTCATATCACTGAATATTTATTTGGACCAAAATAAGAATATCGTCCCTTTTCACTTGGATTATTAGGTTCTACATAATCATGCTACATTTTAACAAATACAACAGAAGAATAAAATGCAATTGTATTTCGAGGTTTGTTAAATTAGAGTATATTTTCCTTATGTTGATGCACTTTATATTTACTATTTGTCTCATGTTTTCTGAGCCATTTGTTGGATCCAACAAAGAACAAAACCATTCCCATAATTGACAGCCCAGCATAGAGGGAGGTGCTTTTAATTGACAACTCTATTTTTAACCCATAATTTAGTAGTAAACATATGAATTTACCATTGGGTTTGGTCCTGTAATGCAGGCCCAGGCCCTCTGTAATTGGGTTAATTGGCTTCAGTTCTATTGGATCTTCATGACCCATTAATAGCCCCATCTAGTTTGCCAAATTTACTTTATACAAATTGGACCAACTTGATAATAAAAAACAAAAAAAAAATAGTTTGAAGCTTTGAACTATACTCCTTTTACCAAAACAAAGGAAATTTCCCGTTTGATGTCTGAATGAACCCAACCATGATGTCAGTTGGGGTCCATCCCTGGTTTCTAGTTGAGTCAAGCAATTTAAATGCAACATTTGAGTTCAGTATGTGTAAAGGTTTTGAATTTGAAAGGGATTTCTTTTGATTTACGTAATCAATTTTATTACTATTTTACACTGATTTGGGTGTTGCATTACTGCTCAGTTCCACTAGAACTGTCAGCTCCGTGTCAATCAAGAGTTCTAATGTAAGAACTATATGTGTCATGTATGAAGTTTCTGGTGATGCAGTTGTATTAAATGATTTGCAAGTCTTTCTCAAGGATACATGGGAATGTCTTACAGGCAGTGGTAAACATGTAGGAGGGGTATCAGTGATCTACAAACTTCAAAGACCAACAAATAAAATATTATACTTGGATAATGTTGATTTGTCTAGTGACTAACCAAACTTTTTTGGATGGTTACTGATATCCTTAAACATACAAAATGGAGTTGCAGGATATATGCCAATCGGATATGAAAGTTTATAGTTTATTAAGGTACCTGATTGCGCTTCTAGCAACAATCTAGTTGAAGATTGTAACAAAAGAAAAATATATGCCTAAAAAGATGACAAGAAAGAAAAGGAAGCTAGAGAATGTGATAAGAATTGCTTGGAAAAGAACTGGTTTTCTTTTGTGCTGGCAACAGAGATCAGCAGTTTTGGTGATCGGTCAATGGTCCCCATGAGAAAACCTGATGTTCTTGCTCTGGAGATTGTTGATATGCGAGAGAAGAGAGGGACAACCTGGAGATTGTCACTATTTTTTTTTTTTGTTCCTTATGTGACAGGATGCCTAGGCAGCTAATTCTATGCCTTTTGGAAGCTCCATAGTTCCTATTCAAAAAGAATAGTTGTCGTTGGCGTGAAGAGGAGAGAGAAAGTGGCTTACTTGGTAGAAGAGACCGTTGTATTTGCATTGATGGTGGGAGTAGCTGGTTGTTTTTATGTTGTTATTTTTTACCAAGATGCCCGTTATATGCTCGAGCAGCTTGTTATTTTTTATATTTGTTTAATGGTGGGAGTAGACGGAACATCATTTGGTAGCAAGAAACAGTTGTATTTGCATTGATGGAAATGACAAACATCCACAAAAAAATTGTATTCTTATTTGCATCTTTCAAAACAAATGAGCTGAGTGCAAAGTGGGTGTGTAAATCTTGAACCACTTTGCACGCACATGAACTAAACACTTTTGTTTTGCACTCTACAAATTTGTGTTCGTGCTCCAACCAAACAGAGCCTTTGGTTTATTTGCACCAATTATGAGGGTAAAATTTTGCATCTTAGGCTCAATTTGGACATAGTACAAACACAAATAGTAGAGTGCAAAACCTTGTATTTTGTATGCATTTGCACTGTACATATTTGTATTTGTATTTCTTCCAAACAGAGCCTTAGGTTCCAATTGGAATGAGTGAAAAATACAAATATGTAAAGTACAAATACAAGGTTTAGAAATACCATTTACAAGGGTTTTCGCTTCACATAATTGTATTTGTACTCTTCCAAAACTAAGCTCTAATAATTAATGCAAAATTTGCATTTCCTTCATCCTACCTAAATTTTCTTAGATACAGCGGGGACCATATCATCTTGTTATCTACCTCACTCCCATAATACTAACATTCTATCTACCACCATTCTCTTTCATATGTTGTGGGGATTACATCATTTTACTCCACATTTTACTTGTTGTGAACAACCAACAAAAAGTCAAATATGAAACAAAAGTAAACTAGAATTTAGGGTCCATTTTGGAAGAGTACAATTACAACACAAATCCTAGGATTTAAATTTTTTTTTTTTTTTTTTTTTTTACATCAGCCAACTTTGAGTGCAATAATTTGGATGCAAACTTTTTTCTCATTGTGAATGCAAATATGTATTGGAATCCATGTTTGCTGTCATTTTAAATACACAAATGATTGTTATCAAATGCTTGCAAAATTAGCAATGCTTATTGGTTTATGCAGGGTTTGGGTGTGTGATTCTCTTTTGATTGGGATTTCAAATATAAACAACATTTCTATGCTGCAGCTTATAGATGGCAATGTTCATTTAATTCTACAAGAAAACATATTCCTTATGGATTTTTTATCGTATGAGGTGGGAAGAAGGCATTCAACTTTGAAAATGATTCTACACATATGTGGGGACGCTTGGGAGAACCATTGGCTATATTGATTTGGGCGTGGAAACTCTTTTATTTGGGAGCTTATCCCATGCATGTGAAGCCTCTAATTTCCATTGCATGCCATGGTTGGGATGAGTTTGAATCTCCTGCACTCGAAATGGTGTGGGCATTGATGCACTTCCAATAAGAAATAAACACATCGCAGGTATCTTGTTTACAAAACTAGCGCTAAAATTCCCGTTAAACTATAATATTTTTAATTTTTAAATCAATTGAAAGGTGCTATCCACCATTGCAGGAGACCTTCTTGGGTAGGATAGAACTACAAGAGGTTTTCCTGAAGTATTCTCAGACATGGAGGACGAGGGTTGGGATGAAATCTCCCAATGTTTGAAGGACTAGGAACAATTCCAAAAATTACCTCCCCATTCTTCTTTTCATTTTGCAATGTCTAGCATTAAAGTTGAGGCCTACTTGGTAGGATGGGAAATGATGGTGCTTAAATAGATTCCATACATAAGATGATGATTGCATCATTCTCCCTCCAAGCAAATACAAAGGACTGCATACCTTTTTTACATGATTATCTATCAACACCAAGGGAATGTAAAATCCGGATTGAGTCCTTCATTATCATGGTTTGGTGTTTATATAGAGGACCCAACATCTTAGCAACAACTGTTCGATTCTTAGCTATCACTTGTAGAGCAGATTCCGAAACATTTGAAATCTTACAATCACATTATTTTCTTCATTTGTATTTCTTATACTACTAGTAGATGGAGAATTTGGCCATTCTCCTCCTTGATTACAGTTGTAGCAACTTTGTTCTCGTTGTTTTTGTACTAGTGGGTTCCCATCGGCATCAATGGATATGGCAAGAGAAGTTGGACCATCTGATACTTCTATTCAAAAGAAGAAGGCCCATGATTCGTTATCGAATCCCTTTGAATATTAGAAGAAGATTGAATCCCCATCTATATTTCAAAGGGTTTGTTGTGAAGATTTAAGGAACTAAACAAGTGGATTGTCTACCCTTGGATTAAGCTCGTCTTATGCAATTGTTAATGGTGGATACCACAAGTCCGCATTCTGTGCACTCATGCGGCACTAGACGAGTGCATCCTCCAATGATTGACGACCACGTCATCCCTTGAAAAAAAAAGGTAACGTTAACAGGTAGACAATGTTAAATGGCATTCGTGGTTGAACCTGGTAGAAAACGACAAAAACCTAATTTCAAACCCTCTAATATCGAACTCTATCTCTCATTTCTCCTCCAATCTGTCTCTCATTCATCCTCCACCGAACCCTTCTACCCCATTGAATCTCCTCCAACGATGAGCACACCACACCGGCAACTGTTCATTAGACATCGTCCATCGGTGACGAGACTAGAAAATGACAAAAACCTAATTTCAAACCCTCTGATATTGAACTCTGTCTCTCATTTATCCTCCACTCTGTCTCTCATTCATCCTCCACCAAACCCTTCTACCCCACTGAACCTCCTCCAACGATGAGCACACCACACTGGACATCGTCCATCGGCGGCGAGACTAGAAAACGACAAAAACCTAACTTCAAACCCTCTGATATTGAACTCTGTCTCTCATTCATCCTCCATCGAACCCTTCTACCCCACCGAACCTCCTCCAACGATGAGCACACCACACCGACCACTGTTCATTAGCCATCATCCATTGGCGACGAGACTCCGACGCTAGTACGTTGTCTGGATTCCTCCTCCTCCTCCTCCTCACCATCATCATCATCTTCTTCTTCTTCTTCTTCTTCTTCTTCTTCTTCTTCTTCCTTTTCTTCTTCTTACAAGGAGCTTCTTATGTCAACAACAACCACCTACTTGGACAACCACCTACTTGGAAAAGGAACTAAGCTTATTCTTAACTTGAAGACCAGATCAACCTAAATAAAAAGTAACTTTGTTGGTAACCCAATATAAATCAAACGAAACCTACAGGGTATAGGAGTCCTACTGTAGATTTACGCACAAAACCATACTTTGCATGGGCCGGCCATATTGCTAACCACTGGAAGCAATTCATTGTCCCTCCCCATATTCTCAAACATTATCAGGAAGCGTCTGCCCTCCTTGGAGCTGAAATTCTATCTATCACACCATCTGAGGTGTGTGAGCATGAGAAGATTGATTTTGTACAGAAGAAGTCGAATGATACCTAGTTGATCAAATTGAAGAGGGAGCTCTACAATGAAGTTTTGGAGTTCCAAAGCAAGACAATTGGGACATAGACTCTCTCCCAGTTGATGGCTATGAGTTCAAAATGGGATTTGCGAAGTCCAAACATCCCAAAAATCACTGTCATATTAAACAATTTCAAGAGGAAAACTCTATGTTCACAGCTTGCTTCCCTGCTCTAGCAGACCCTTCCCTTCCACAGTGTCTAGGTCCTCCCATTTGGGAGTTCGAAGGAGCTCTTTCTGAAGAGGATCGTGGAGAGCTATAATGGTTTGAGGATCAGCTTCATCAGTTCAAGTTAAGATTTCAAGTATTATGGAAGGTTCCATATGACCCTTCAGACAAATGCCGATCTTGTCTACATCCTCGACGATGATATGATACCTGGTAAGAAGATCTACGGATGTTATCCCATGTGGCAGGGACAGATAAGTATAAAAATTCTATTATGGGAAGGATAGGGAGGATATTGCCTTTCATACAGGAGGACTATACGTTCCCAAGCTATAGAAAATTCCGTTCCAAGGAGGCCTGACTTTATTTGCCTACCCCCTGCCTATGATATCATAGTTGATATGATTGTGCAAGTGGATTTTCTCTCTGGCTCATGGTTTTTATCAACTGAGCTTGTTAAAACATTTTTTATAGAGACTTCATTTAACTTCATGACGGGAGAAGATATGCACTTCAAGTACTTAGTCATTTTGAATAAGCCTTCTTCATTTTATTCGATTCAATTTTCAATATAAAAGAGAAATTTTCAACAAATTATTGAAACCATATTTTAATGTTATAATAAATGAGGCTATGAGCAATATTCGATGAGTATTAATCGCTTAATGAATACTATAGCCTATTGGTTCATATTGGTTTGATTCTTATTGGTTCACCAACAAAGTTATTGCTTATTTAGGTTGATCAATTCTTCAAGTTAAGAATAAGCTTAGTTCCTTTTCCAAGTAGGTGGTTGCTGTTGACACAAGAATCCCCTTGTAAGAAGAATAAGAGGAGGAGGAGGAGGAGGAGGAAGCTAGACAAGCGTATCGGTGCCGGAGTCTTGCCGCCGATGGACAATGACCATTGAACAGTGGCCGGTGTGGTGTGCTCACCGTTGGAGGAGGTTTGGTGAGGTAGAAGGGTTTGATGGAGGAGGAATGAGAGACAAAGAGTGGAGGAGAAATGAGAGACAAAGTTCGATACCAGAGGATTTGGAATTAGTTTTTTTGCCGTTTTCTACCCGGTTCAACCATGAACGCATTTAACGTTGTCTACCCGTTAACATTACCCGGTTTTTCAAGGGACGACATGGTCGTCAGTCATTGGAGGGTGCACTCGTCCAGTGCATCCATGGGTGAACAGTGTGTAGACTCGGATATCATTATTAGGCTTTCATGGCGTTTTCGTTTAAAGCCTAAAAACACCAGACATGTTCATTTATGATTGGAAGTGCACCCTTGCCCACACCATTTTGAGTGCATGAGATCTAGACTCAGTTGGGATTGGTTGAAAAATCTTTTCATCGCCTCGAGTTAGGATAGGAGTGATGTTGAATGGTTTTGGTCTTGTTACACTCTAAGAGGAATTCACATCGGCTCATCACATAGGGCATCCTAGACGTGCCCCATAGCACATCTCCCATTCCTAATGCATGGTTGGGATGTGTGTTGGGACATGCTCTGTGGGGAGTTAGTACAGACTCCTCTAAAGAGGTATTTCCATTTGTATTTATGACCATCTTAGTGACCACTAAGAAATGGGCTTGGATCTCTTGGAAGCAAAATCTCTCCACATATGGCATCCAACCACACATTAGGAATATCTCCCATACATGTGTATGAAATTCATAGGAATATCTGAATATATTCCCAATTTGAAATAAGATGCCTTTTAGATATTTTGCTTATAGGTGATCATAGGATAACATTTATTTGTGGTGTGAACACCAAATAGGTGTAAACTTGCACTCTGATATAGCTTTGCTTGCATTTGGTGGTAATGTTAACACCATTTTTTTTTATGTAAATCTTTCTTCACTTATTTGTATGCTTCTCCCCAGAGGCAATACAATGGCCATTGCATCTACCTTATTATTGGAGTCATTGAATTGGAAGTGGAAGGAGAGACGAGCATTCACTCTCTTGGCCCTGATATGCTTTTGTGTTTTTGTTATCCCCTCTCATCCAACTTGGTTTCTATTATTCTTGACCATTCCAAGGAATTAGAAACGAAGAGAAAGCTTGGAGGGAGAGTGTGTGTGTTGGGGGATTTCTTCTCGAGGTCTTTGGATTTTGAATTATCGGGGATCAATAATCTAGGAGAGGGATGATCTTTATAGCTTGAATAGTTGATGATGCTGAAGTTGGATCAAGATCATTGGTAAAATCACGACCCTGGAGTGATCTTGTCTATGGACGGCTACATGCATGAAGGGCAATTTGGTTAAGCTGAGAAATGTATGTGGTTTATTTTGGAAGAAGTACAAATACAAATATGTACAATATAGATACATATAAAATAATACAAAATATAAGGTTTTATACTCTATATATTTGTATTTGTACTCCTTACCAACTAAAACTTTAGTCTGAGTTTGAAAGGAGTATAAATGCAAATATATAAAGTGCAAAACCTTGTATATATTTACACTGTACATATTTACATTTGTACTCCTTCCAAACTGAACCTTAATAATCAAAGTACGATCCGTGTTTTGCAACTCACGGCCCCACCGGGGAGCATCGTCACTCCACTACAACGGCGTAAAATTGTATTTACACCAAAACAAACTTATCTTTGGAAATATAGAGAAATTTTCGTATTCGGGTTGGTTAGAACAAAACAGAATTTTATAATACAAAAAAACCAAAAAGAACAGAACATAGTTCGAATCCTCTGCAGTTATACTCGTAGGGCCAATCATCACATGCAACGTCAACTTAAACATGAATCCACGTGTTAAGATGACGTAATATATAAGAGTTTTAATGACTGGCCCAGTAACTACAAGACACGTAGTAAAAATTAATGTACTAGGAATAACCTAGGAAAATGAAAATTCTGCTTTTCTTTTTTTGACATTTTCCTTTAAACAACGTGCCAAACAAGTATGTAGACACGAACAGAGTCTGACGTGGCAAAGACATACATAACACCTGGCAGCCGCTGGATCGGCTGCCAAACCCGGCCCAGATAAATTTAACCCGGGGCTATATTAACACGTCCAGACCAACAGGTCCAACACTCCAATTTCATCTCGTGGGCCCATTAGTTTTTTTTTTGATGGATCCTCTGATGGTCTCGAACTCGAAGAAATCTGTAACGGTTCTCCTTGGATCTATTTAATACAAATTTATTATCCAATAATCTAGGATTAACAGGTAATTTAATAAATCCAACACGAGATTTATGGAAGATTATTAGGATAGATAATTTGTAAAGAATCAGATCAGATATATATATTAATAAGTAAAATTAACAGTAATTACCCGGTTCAAGGTATAAGGAGAAGAAAATAAGGAGGGAGGAGGAGAGAAGGAAAGACCGAATAATCAAAACCTCTTTGGATTCATCTGCTTCTGCCCTTTAATGAACTTCCGTCGGAAGTCCTTCGCCAATTCAAAGCGGCGTCTCCATCACTCGCGCTACCCCGCTCCACCGCCCCTCTCCCTCCGTCTCTGGGTCTCTGCTTGATTGCTTGCTAGGGTTAGGGTTAGCGTTTAAATCAATTTAGGTATTCTGAATCTCTTCGCTCTCTGAATTCTTATGTTTTTATTTTTCTGATATATATTTCTGACCTGGTTGTCTCGTTTTGCTTCTTTCAATGGAAAAATAATATATTTTTTAGTTTTATTTCGTTTTGTTTTCCTCTATTTTTTGGTCGATTTGCACCGGATCGTTTCTCGTTTCTCTGCAGTATTTGTTCGTTGTTAGTGATTTTAATGCAATGAGGTTATTTTCCTTTTTTTTGTTAACTTAAAGTTGCATTGGGGATTTTCTCTCGATCACCGGAGGGTTTTGATCAGGGCATTGTGTTATTCTGGGTTTGATTCAGAAGATTAAAAACCTAGGGTTTGTTTTGGTATGAACTTCTGGGTGGGTTGTCTGGTGTTGAATTTGGAGGATTTGCTATCTTTTTGCTCGTGTAGTTGGAATATACAAGTAAGGTATTGGTTACCACCGACTCTTATTAACCGTTGTATTCCGGATTGTAATGCCTGTTAATCAACGCTTTGCAGTAGTTAAACTGGAAAAGGAAGTCTAGAGGGTGGCGACATGACAATGGCTGAGCGGAAGACGATTGACTTAGACCAAGGATGGGAGTTTATGCAGAAGGGGATCACGAAGCTCAAAAACATTCTAGAAGGGCTTCCTGAAACACAATTTAGCTCGGAGGATTATATGATGCTCTACACGTATCCTTTACTACTCTTTTTAATTTATCCTTTTTTTTTTGTAATGCTTAATTTCTCCGGTTTATATGGTTCTCTTCTTCATGCCTTGTCTTCCTTATTTTTTACCAACAGAACCATCTACAATATGTGCACTCAAAAACCGCCCCATGACTATTCTCAACAGCTATATGATAAATACAGAGAATCCTTTGAGGATTACATCACTTCAATGGTGAGGAAGTTCCACATTTTTGGTATTTAGGCATATATTGAATTTTGCTTATTGGTGATCTGCCCGTGCATTTTGATTGTAACACTTAATAGAGTTTATAGAATCAATTGGCTGTTTTTGGTCTTTATGTCTTTGTTGATTGTTTTCATCCCCTGATTGTTTGCACCACAAATTTGTAATGTTCCTCTCTTACTACCCTACTTATTCAAAAGACCCTGACTTTGGTTCTTCAGAGCAAGCCCATTTGGATGTAATGGGCTTTCATTATGGAACTTCAGAATCCTTTTGTGAGGGTCTAGTTTACAGGGAAGACTTCAGTTATCCTTTCATTCATTGCAAGGACATTAAGGGATATATAAGGGACTAAGTTCTTTTGGGTAGGCTTATGGTCAATTGCATGTCTATTTGCATCTGCTGTGGTTTTTGGGATGAATTTCAGGCTTCTTGTCAGTTACCAATAGTTTGTTGGTGACATCAGAAGGGCTTCTTTATGAAATAATGTTCATTTTTTTTGAGTGTGCAAAGGAAATTTGAGATATATTGGAAGTTGAATAACAAAACCTCTTCTTGGTGAAAGCCAGAAAGCAGATGGTGTCAAACTTCAATAGAAGGTTTTTGGATAGGTGGAAATTGATAGTGGCTTTTTTGTGTTTCTTTTGATGGATAGATGGAAATTGATGGTGGCATTTTGCAATCAGTATTGGTTTTATTACCTAGTTTGTCAAATAGATATTTTATGCAAACTGCTTAGGTGGTATTTTGCAATGTTTCAGTGGAATGCTTCTGGCCTTTCCATAACATTAAAAAGTGACTGTTTACTTCCTGGAACACCAGAAACACTCCATTGGAACGTTACTATTGGTCACCTAATTCTTTATTAATCAAAAAGTTTGTTGCTGACCTTACTGGAACATATATTGCTTGAAATGTGCTTATTTAGTGCGTAAAATTACTGTTTGCATAGTCATTAATATTTTTTGAATACTGCCGCTAGTGCTAAAATATTTTTTTGCTGATTCTTTTTTTTTTTTTCTGGGGTTCTTAAAAACACAATTTATATGTTGGCAAAATGATGGATGCCTTTGACTTTTCTTGGAACCTTTTTTTCTTTTTAATTTTCTTTCTTTTTGCCCCAATAGGGCTATGATGTTGGTTCGCTGCAGCTTGAGCAATTATTTCTCATATTGCATTAGAAAGTGTCCTGATGGAATGCAAATTGCTTAAATGTTCTTTATGTTTGTTTGCTCATTCTTTTAACTAGCTAATTGTTTGTAACATGTTTCTGTTCCTTTATATTCATCTTCATTTTTTTTTTTAAATTTTATTAGTGTGATTCTTTTAAGTTGGAAGGAAACATCTGTGATTTGCCTCTACATTCTCATAAAATTTATTGGACATTTTGTTGTACTCAGGTATTGCCATCTTTGAGAGAAAAGCATGATGAATTTATGTTGAGAGAGCTTGTGAAAAGGTGGATGAATCATAAGGTCATGGTCAGGTGGCTTTCCCGTTTCTTCCACTATCTTGATCGATACTTCATTGCGCGACGTTCACTTCCTCCACTCAATGAAGTTGGGCTGACTTGCTTTCGTGATCTGGTACACAACAAGTTTATAATATGACATAATAATTGTTGAATAACTTAGTCTTATTTCAGTTTAGTGTTGCAAGGTCTCATATGTAATTGTACTTTATTTTATCTTTTGAATGGTCGCCCTAGTATAAATATTAAAAAGGCTAGTGCCGCCAGCTGGCTCTTTTCTCTCCAATCTCTTTTTCCTTTTCTCTCTTCTCCCTCTTCTCCTCTCACTATTTTGAGATCGTACTGCATCCTTACCAAGAAAACATGGTATCAGAGCGTCAGATCCAATCTTAGGAGCAGGGTGATCAGTTTGTTTCTTCCTTCAACTATCTTATTTGTCTATGTGATCGAATCAACGGAAAGAGGTTTCTGGTGGACACGTGAGGGAGCTTGCTGTGTATTTATTCCTCTCCTCTCCTGGTTGTGAGCCCATAAATCATCAAGGGGAGGGAAGCCGAATGCTGTGAGAGTTTTTCTCCTTCTTTCTTCCTCAGCTTTATGGATTGAACTGATCTTTTTTTGTACCCAGGTGAGTGGGTTATGTGGGTCTAAAGACCTGTGACTGGTGTGAGAGTGTTTTCTCTCAATATATGTGGGTCGAGTGATCCTTCTTATGCCCTGAAAGGTGGACTGTTCAGGTCTGTAGTTCTGTAACTGCTGTGACAACAGTTTTTTCTTCTTTAGTTCATAGTAAAACCTAAATTGTTGTGTGGAAAATTGATGAGTATTGTTGGAGGGACTGGTCAAACCTGTTTTTGATATGTTTTGCACATCTGAACTGGTTTAGTAGGGTTGAAATCTGAGAACAAGTTATGGTGTGTGATCAGTTTTGATTACTCTGTGTGGGAACAAGCTTTTTTTGTTCCCAGAACTGTGGCTGAACTAAGACTTTAACCTTGTTTGACTGAACTGTGAGTCCGAACTGAACTGAGAGCTTGTTCTCTGACTGGATGGTGACTGAACTGAAATCAAGTTCTATGTCTTCTGAGGATTCTAGTATGTCTGGTATGACCTCTAGTCAGAGTGGGATGAGTGGAGGTTTTGACATGAGGTTTTCCATGGCTAAGATTCCCTTTGATGGCCTCAATTACCTAGAATGGTCAAGGGGAATCGAGCTCTACATAACTGCAAGGGGAAAAGTGGGGTATATCAATGGTAGTGTTAGAGAACCCCAGTCTGGAAGCGTGGAACATGATAGGCGGGACCAGGAAAACAGCATGGTGATGTCATGACTGTTATTGTCTATGCTGCCACAAGTGAGAAAAACCTTCATGTGGGCAGAAACAACTCATGAGATATGGGAACATGCTAAATCTACGTATTCAAAACGACATTATGCCAAAATATATTAGTTGCAGGCTGCCTCCTCAACTTGTAAGCAAGGGGAGAGGAGTCTCACTGTCTACTATTCAGATTTGACTTCTATTTGGAAGGAACTAGATCACTATTAGAATATAGACTGGAAATGTGATGCAGATGCCAAAGCATACAAGTCTCTGGTTTCCCAACAACGAGTGTTTGCCTTCTTCTTAGGGCTGAATTCCACATATGAATCTATCCGGGTTCAGATATTGGGGAGTAGAGATCTCTCATCAGTGCAAGAAGTATATGCTCTAGTACAGTCAGAAGAGAGTAAACGGAATGTGATGAATAATCCTAAGGGAGAGTAGATTGCATTAGTAGCAAAAGGGAGTGTTGCTACGGGTGGTGGTAATTCCTTCAAGAAGAGTGACTTCTAGAAGAAAGTTGATGACAAGGATAAACTATGGTGTGCACATTGTTAGAAACCTAGACATACTCGGGATACATGTTGGGAGCTTCATGGGAAGCCAAAGTGGGCTTAGGAGCTGAGTAAAAAGTTCGATCAGAATACTGATAAAAAAAAGTCTGACCAGAATAAGAAGCTAGGACAGTAAGGTCAGAGGAAGTTTAATGCAACAAACTTAGCCTCTCAAGAACTTCATTCATCTACCATTGCTACGAGTCCTTTTGTGACTGATCCTAGGGAAGATATCATTAATTCTTTCTGTGACCATTTGGAGTTGTATGGGAGGGCAATCCGCTAGATGGATTATGCTTCTTTCCCCTCGACTTCCTTTGCATCTACATCAGGTAACAGTAATTGCGCCATTGATTTCCATGTGCCCTCTCAATCCTCAGACTCTCCTTGGTTAATAAATTTTGGAGCCTCGAACCATATGACGAGTAAGTCCAATTGTTTTCAATCTTATCATCTATTATCTGGTCGGGATAAGGTGAGACTTGCTGATGGTTATTTTTCCACTATAGTTGGTCACGGAACCATCTCCCTTCCTCTTGGACTCACCCTTTCTGATGTTCTACATGTTCCTAAACTACTTATAAATTTGTTCTCTGTTAGTAGTATAACAAGTTCGTTAAACTACTTAGTAACCTTTTTTCTTCCTCTTGTATGATACAGGATTTGGCCTCGGGGAAGATGATTGGTAGAAATCGTATGGTAAATGGTCTTTAAATGCTGGAGAATAAAGCTAGTCTTGCAGCTATTGAGTCTAAGAGTCTATCTTGTAAGAGTCAATTCCATTTATGGCACAGTCTTTTGGGTCATTTATCTTTTGAATCATTGAAAATTTTATTACCAGATTTATTTAAATTAGTGTCAGTGTCGGATTTCACATGTCAAACTTGTTAGTTGAGCAAACATTGTAGAAATCATTTTACTTCAAGAAATAATAAATCTGATTTTCCTTTCCATATTGTTTATTCTGATGGCTGGGGTCCTGTTACTTTAACATCCGAGTTTGCTTATAAATATTTCATTATGCTTATTGATGACTACTCCTGATATACATGGGTGTATCCAATGCGGTCCAGAGATGAAGTACCCAAAATCATTAAAGATTTCCAACGCTCGATATTCACTCAGATTTAAACGGAAATCCAAATTTTCCCATCAAACAATGCCAAAGAATATTTTCATAGTGATCTCGCGGAGTTTTTTTGTTTCGTGTGGATCCATACATCGCAACTCTTGTGCTAGAACCCCCCCCCCAACAGAATGGTGTTGCTAAAAGAAAAAACAACCACCTCATTGAAGTTGCTCGTGGGTTATTCATACACTTGAATGTTCCTAAACGTTTTTGGTTGGATGTTGTGTTGTGTGCTGCCTATCTCATCAACCGAGTGCCATCTCGCCTGTTAGGGTACAAGGCCCCCCCATCAACTTCTATTTCCCAAGTCTCTTCTCTTCTCTGTTCCTATCTGTGTGTTTGGTTGTCAGGACCTATCTCCTACTCGTGGTAAACATGATCCTCGTACCATTCCTTGTGTATTCTTGGGTTATCCTTCTTCCCAAAAAGGTTATTGGTGCTTTGACCCTGTTTCCAGAAATACTGTCTCTATAGATGTGTTTTTCTTTGAGAGTGACCATTTTTTCCCGGTTTCTCCTCAGGGGGAGAGTAGGGTGGAGGAGAAACCAGTTCAGGTTCTCCCCCCTCTACCTGACCCACCCCCCTCTGTATCGTATTTTTCGTCGTCGCAAGGGCCAACTAAATTCAAGAGCTGTGGAGCAACTTGAAACTGTACCGCCAACATCATCAGATTCACCGGGGACAGATCTTATCCAACCAAGTACTATCATTCCTATTGATGTTTCTGATCCCCTTGCTATTGATACTTCATCTACTAATGACCTAGGCATCTCCATTGCAAAAAGGAAGAGAGTTAGGTCTTGTACCACCAAGCATCCTATTTTACTATTTTGTTTCTTATGAGAACATCTCACCCTCTTTTCGTGCTTTCATTTCTTCCACTAACAGTGTCCCTATCCCTAAAAATGTGGCAGAAGCTCTTTTAGTACCTAAATGGACAGATGCAATGAAAGAAGAGATAAATGCCCTATATAAAAATGGTACGTGGGAGTTAGTGGATCTTCCTGAGGGTAAGGAACCAGTAGGGTGCAAGTGGGAATGAAGTACAAGGCTGATGGCACAATAGAAATGTACAAGGTTAGGTTGGTGGCAAAAGGGTTTACTAGGTATATGGAGTAGATTATGCAGATACTTTTGCTCTAGTAGCTAAGATGAACTTTATTAGAGTTCTTTTCTGCCTTGCGGCAAATCTTGATTGGGATCTTCATCAGCTAGACATTAAGAACACCTTTCTGAATGGAGACCTTGAGGAAGAGGTGTACATGGTACAACCTCCTGGCTTTAGTGCCCTAGGCAAAGAGCAGAAAGTGTGTAGGCTAAAGAAGGCTTTGTATGGTCTAAAGCAATCATCTGGCTATACAACAGATTGGCTACAAATAGTGTCAGACTGACCATACTCTATTTGTGAAAAGGGGGGAAGGAAAGATTGCATCCTTGATAGTGTATGTTGATGACATAGCGATCACATGTGACTGGAAGGTTGAAATTCAGAGGCTAAAGGATTTCTTAGCCACTCAATTTGAGGTGAAGGATCTAGGTCCCCTTTGGTATTTCCTTGGAATAGAAGTGGCCCGCTCACAAAAGGGGATCTTCATTTTTCAAAGTATATACTTCCTAGATCTGTTACAGGATTCTGGAAAATTAGGGGTTAAGCCAACAGACTTTCCCATTGATCCAAATCACAAACTGGGTGATTGTTGTGGTGAAGTTGTCAAGGATGTAAAACAATTCTAGAGACTTGTGGGGAGGCTCCTGTATTTGTCCATGACCAGGCCAGACATTGCTTATGCAGTGGGTGTTCTTAGTTAGTTCATGCATTCTCCTAAAACCACACACTTAGAGGCAGTAGAGAGAATCCTCAGATATCTAAAGAAGTTTTCAGGAGCTGGTTTATTATTCCAAAAGAATGGTCATTTGAAGATTGAAGTCTATATAGATGCTGATTGGGCTGGATTAGTTGATGACAGAAAATCCACTAGTGGGTATTGTTCCTTTGTGGGTGGAAATCTAGTAACATGGAGAAGCAAGAAACAAAGTGTGGTGGTTAGGTCTAGTGCTGAAGCTGAGTATAGAGCAATGTCCCATGGGGTGGCTGAAGCTATGTGGATAAAGAATTTGTTGAGCAAACTGGGTTTTCCTGTTGATAGCCCTATGTCCTTGTATTGTGATAACAAGGCTGCCATCAATATTGCAGCCAACCCAGTTCTTCATGATAGAACTAAACATCTAGATGTTGGCAAACACTTTATTAGAGAGAAAATTGTTAATGTGGGAAGTGTGCACCCCATATGTTAGTTCTAAGGAGCAACTTGCAGATATATTTACAAAATGTTTGTATTACTTGTGGCACAATGACTTATGTGACAAGTTGGGCATGATTGATATCTATGTCCCAACTTGGGGGGGGGGAGTGCTGAATAACTTAGTCTTATTTCAGTTTAGTGCCGCAAGGGCACATATGTAATTGTATTTTATTTTATCTTTTGAATGGTCACCTTAGTATAAATATTAAAAAGGCTGGCGCCGCCAGTAGACTCTTTTCTCTCCAATCTCTTTTTCCTTTTCTCTTCTCCCTCTTCTCCTCTCACTATTCTGAGATTGTACTGCATCTTTACCAAGAAAACAATAATGATGTTATTCTTTTCCACAATTTCTTTTTCTTTATTGCCTTTGGACAGTTGTAACTGCTTGATGTAAAAATTTCACAAAATTATTTTCCTTGTTCTACTTTTGTGCCTTTATTTAAAGACATATTCCATTGAATTGTTATGGAAAACACATATTTTTCTCTAATTTCAGGTCTACCGAGAGATAAATGGTAAAGTCAGGGATGCTGTAATTTCTCTGGTATGTATCTATCATTGTTTTTTACATGTCGAAATATCTCCTTGCCAACTGTGTCAAATTTAAGAAATTATTTTATGAACCAGATTGATCAAGAGCGTGAGGGAGAGCAAATTGATCGAGCTTTATTGAAGAATGTTCTAGACATTTTTGTTGAAATTGGAATGGGTCAGATGGATTGTTATGAAAATGATTTCGAGGCAGCAATGCTTAAAGATACTGCTGCCTACTATTCTCGCAAGGCTTCAAATTGGATTCTGGAGGATTCTTGTCCAGATTACATGTTAAAGGTATCCTTTCCATCTCCTCTTTCATTGACTGAAAGTTTATTATCACAAATTATGATGCTCTCTAAAAGCTCATGTGACATATCAGGCTGAGGAATGTTTGAAAAGAGAGAAGGATCGTGTTTCTCATTACCTACATTCTAGCAGTGAGCAGAAGTTATTAGAGGTTTGTTCTGACACCCCTCTTGCTTTAAAGAATGAATAGTTTAAATATATAATTCGCTTAAGATGAAAGTTCATCATCTAAGGGACTAAGGGAGCAATCCCTGGATTTGAAAATAAGGAACAAAATAAATAAGACTTGAATGGATACTAACCACTGTTTATGGCATGACCTCTTATAGAGAAAGAAATGTTTTTTGGAAAGAGCTTCATACAATTCAACAGTTATGGGGATTATCTTGTTGTATGTGTGGGGAAGTTTTAGTGTTATTAGATTTAATAATAAAAAGAAATGTGATAACCACTCTCTAAGCATGAGAAATTTTAACAGATTTGTCAATAGATGCTTTTTGAGAAATTTTGCATGAAGTGGCCACTCTCAGGCCTTGTGCTTGTTAGCCTGATATTTTACCATTACACCAAGCTATATACCCCCTTTTGAGAGATCTTCACCTAATTACTACAAATTTCATTTGGTTTTATATGCAACCAGAATGTATATGTTGCATGAAGAAATTAGCTTGATATTTTACCATTACACCAAGCTATATACCCCCTTTTGAGAGATCTTCACCTAATTACTACAAATCTCATTTGGTTTTATATGCAACCAGAATGTATATGTTGCAAGAAGAATATAGCTGGAGACAAAAATGAAGATGTAAATAGTTCCACTATGGTGATGGGACAAATTTTTACCTGGTTTGGCTAATGGAAGTATCTTATCTTAATGCTAACTAGAAATGAAAATTTGGAGGGAGGTCTATAAGAAATTCAAGACATAATAGTGGTCCATTTAAAATCTTTCTTAGTCTCACCTACAATCAAGAGGCCTTTGATTGAATGTCCTAATTGGTATAGAATCCGTCACAACTAATTCTCCTGTTTGGAGAGCCCTTTTGTGGAGAACAAAGGAAAAAAAAGCCATCCTCGTATTGAATGGGGCAGTCCCAGTTCACTTTGGCAATTTTTAAGGAATGTTTAGTGGTGTTAAAACAAATATCACAAAAGGTTTTAATGAGTTTAATGAAGGAATGATTAATAAAGGAATGAATGTAACCATATTCCTTATTTTGAAGAAGATAGGGGCAACCATGCAAAATGTTTTTAGACCCATATTCCATCTCATTAGCCTCTAAATTTGATTTGAATGTTTTTCCCCCTTATATCATGAGAAGCACTTGGTTTGACGGCGATACCACTTCAAAGACCTTTTGTTAAAGGTAAGTAGTTTTAGCTAAAATCTTGGTAGCCAATGAGGCAATGGATGATATTTTGAGGGAGGGAGGAAATATTTTGTTTGTAAGCTGAATTTGGAAAGAATCTTATGTTCATGTTATTTGGGCTTTCTTGGAGTGGGTGTTACATGAAACAAAATTTGATGGAAGATGGATCAACTGGTCAAGTGGATGGTGGGATTTATTATCTTAAGTTCATTTCTCCAGTGGCTTTCTCCCATTATTCATTCTAATGGTATATGTTCTAAGTAGGTTTCTCAGAAAAGCAGACGTGAGGAAGGTGCCTAGAGGTTTTACAGTAGGGGGTCTCAACTCTCATTAATTTCTCTTTTCTCTCCTATTTAGTCCTTTTTTTATCAGCAACACAGAAAAGATTCATTAATTAAAAAATCAAGTACAACAAGAAGTTGTGGGCGGACAAGCAGTCTACATTGACCCACTAAATACATCACAGCCACAAGCAAACACAAAAGACAATCCCTTTAATTACAACACAACCCAAAAGGTAATCAACTAGAACATAGGCGAAAACATAGATTGTCTTTGAACTCCTTGCTTAGCTAGTCTATTAGCCATACTGTTAGCTGATCTTCTAATCCATCTTATTTGAACCATCCTGTCTTTAGAAGGCTGTTTGAAGTGCCTGAACCCATTCCTTAACTCACCACAGTTTTTGAGTCCCCTTCAACCATCAACCTATCAATCCCCATTTTTTTGGCTTTTTCAACCCCAAACACTGCTGCCTTCATTTCTGATCTCTCCTATCAAGTCTTTCCTGTCAGCTCCATTTGGCTTGGGTTGTTCATCCTAAAATTAGGGCTTTTTGGTTGGAAATATATCATTTAAAAATCAATACGTCTGAGCAGTTATAGAAGCAAAGGCCTTCCTGGTGTCTTTCACCACACAAATGCTTCCTTTGTGATGCTAGTGGGGACTGGGGAGTCCACTAACCATTTACTAATCTCCATGTCCCTTTGCCTCCAGCATATTGGAGTGGTTTTTTGATCTCTGTGGTTGGTGGTTGTCCCCAGATTATGTGCAGAGATATATTAGGGCAGTGGGCAGCCATCCTTTGGTATATTTGGGAAGAAAGGAATGCAAGAATTACCAGGGTTCAAATCTTAGAAAAAGCCTGTCTGTATGTGCGGGGGTAAGACGGTACATCTGTCCCTCCCTAGACCCTGCATTGGTGGTTGTCTCGTGCACTGGGCTGCCCTTTATTTAGCTTCCATAGGGGTTAGGGACTCCACAAGAGCAGAAACGGTAGCTGTACTACAAGCCTTAAGACTGGGTAGAAGATTCAATATGTGAAGATTGGTGGTGGAAGGAGATTTGTGACAGGTTGGTTAAGGAAGGATGGTCAAGGCATATGCTATTATCGACACGTTCTAAAATCTAAACGAGATCAAATATCTTGCAAATGAATGGGTAGAAGAGCACAAATGATAGCTGTACTACAAGCCTTAAGACTGGGTAGAAGATTCAATATGTGAAGATTGGTGGTGGAAGGAGATTTGTGACAGGTTGGTTAAGGATGGTCAAGGCATATGCTATTATAGACGCGCTCTAAAATCTAAATGAGATCAAATATCTTGCAAATGAATGGCAAGTTGGTAAATTGAGTTCCTAGACCTGCAAATGATATGGCAGATTCATTTGCAAGACAACTAGACAAGGGATTAATTGGGAACAAATGTTTTATGGGGTTAACTGGTGAAATTGTGTGTAAAGCTAATATGTAAGAGAAAGGTTAGGTGTTTACCAGCCTGGCAAACAAGCAATTTTATGTACATAATACTCTTTTCTACTAACAAAAAAATACTCCTGTGGGGGAACTCACCTCTGTTCTAGTTTTCCAATTTGATACCCAGTTATCTTTATCTTTATGTGCTTAGCATGCCAGTGTTGGACACAGTACATACCTGACATCAGTGATAGTATTGCATATCAGATGTATATTCTTGTAGTCATCTCATCTCCGCCCGGTGGTGATGCTTTTTCCCCAATTCTACAATCAATACAATCTGAATTATGTTTACTATCGTATTGATCAATATGTGCATACATACAGTACTTATTTATTACCTTTTCTTGGTGCAGAAAGTGCAACATGAGTTGCTATTTGTGTATGCAAACCAATTGCTTGAAAAGGAACACTCTGGATGTCATGCTTTGCTTAGGGATGACAAGGTATTTTCTTGGTGTATTATGTTGTCCAAATTTTCATTGCATTGGCCATTTGGATATTATACACTTAATTGCAGTTTCATCATCATCTAAGCCCTATCCCAACTATATGGTATCAGCTTCATGAATCATGCTTTGCCATTCCATTCTGTTTAGTGCTTATTGCTGTTTAATAAACTGAATTATGTTGCCTCTACCTTTTTTTGTTAGGTGGAGGATTTGTCAAGGATGTATAGGCTCTTCTTCAGAATTCCTCGTGGTTTAGATCCTGTTTCTAATATATTTAAACAGGTGATCTAATACTTGTATATGACTTCTCTTTGTAAAAGACCATGAAAATGTTACCTCTATTTTTGTTTTTGTGCTGATTATGTTGTGATGCAGCATGTGACTGCTGAAGGTACTGCCTTGGTCAAACAAGCAGAAGATGCAGCTTGTAACAAGAAGGTAAAATCTCGAATGCCTTCTTTTTCTGATCTTTTAGTGCCTGCATATGGTCTCATCTCCATTCATCATGCACTTTTTTTTTAAATTGTTTATATTTTTGAGAAGCATATCTATTCTAATTATTAAAGATTAATTCTTCCATTTGGAGTTTTTAAGAAAGTTGTTTTAATGCTTTGAATAATTTACAGCTATTAAAACCCAATGACTGGTTGCTGTGTTTTTTGATAAGATAGTATTGGATGGTTGCCTAAAAAGTAAAAAAGCACATTGCCAAATTGTTCAAATTATGAGAAATGCTAGTAAATGACACGTTTCTGCTGCTCATTTATTTCTTTGCCCTACAAACAAGGTGGGACTCATGTAAAGATGTGGCCATTTTTTGTTTTGTGTATCTTTTCATGTGTCCCACCATGTCTGTATGGTTAAGAATGAAATAGTTGCATATACTTGTTTACTACCATTCCTCCAAATATTATATGCCATTTTCTATATTATTCATGATGTACAATCTTTACATTGTTCTAGGAACCAAAAATTATGTTAGGCAAATCGTTAAAAATTCCTTAAAACTCCTAAAAAATGGAAGTGGGTTTTTTAGCTCAAGGAAAGGAAAGAACTTTTATGGAATGGAGACCCTCCACAACCAACTTTGTGAAGCATAATTTTGATGGAAGTTTCCCTGGTAATGGGCTACAGCTGGGTTAGGAGGTGTTTTCTAAGACTCAGAAGGAAGGATGGTAGCTTTGTTTTCAGGGACTTTAGAAAATGGTGATAGCTTTGTTTTGAGGGCTGAGATATTGGCTGTCTTGGAGGGAATCCAAAAAGCTAAGGATTTGAAGGAGACTCAAAGCTAGTTATAAGCTAGCTGCGAAGGAAGAGGGTGTTGGGTGGTGGGGCTACATTTATGAGAAGAGATGAATTATATGGCTGTATCAAGGACTGGAGGTTACTCTACAATGGGTAAAAAAGAGATGCTAATTCTTTTGTTGATACATTAGCAAAATAAGGAGTGGGAAGGAATCAACTTTTTTGGGCTCGATTGTAATCATGTATCTTTTATGGGAGAGTTAAGAGCGTTTATCTCCCCCTTTCTCTTCTTTGTATCTTTTTCTCTTTTTCTATGGATTCTATTTCAGTTGTTGATATCAAGGATTTAAATATCGATACGATACGCCCGATAAGGGGTGTATCGAATCGGTAGGGCGTATTATATCGGTATTGGCCAGAGGGGATACAGGTTATGCTACGACTAAACCCGTATCCCTTGAATCGCGCGTATCAGAGCGATACGTATTCGTATTGGCCCGTATCGTGTTGTATCGACCGATGCACAACGATATGGCCGAAACGGATTGACGTGTTTCTTGCACGCACATGCGTTTTTTTGTAAAAAATGTGCCTGGCGTGATTTGAACACAAATTACCCAGCGTTAAAGCCTTAACTGCGCGCTTGATCCACTAGGCCACTTTTCATCTTATGAAATTTGATGAAATAAAATAACCTTTTTCTATTATAGTGTCCACATGTAATGCGGAAAAATTACATTTATGTTTAACAATTCCAGCAAAATAAAAAAATGATATTCAAAACTAATATTTTATAAACTAATAGAATAAATAATTTCTTAAGTCCACATTTATATAAAAAATTTGTTTAATCTCAAGAATTTTTACGAAAAAAGATATTAATAATAGAATAATTATTTTAGTACTTAATATTTATAAATTTGAACATGACATGTATCTTAAAATTTTATAAATTATTAATTAATATTTTAATTTGAACTAAATAAAAGCATATATATTATTTATCAAAATAAAAATATTATTTACAGAAACCTTGAGAATATAATGAAAATTGAATTTGTCAAATCCATTAATCTACATTTATATCAAAAATGATTTTTTTATCTCAAAATTTATGGAAATAAAAATATTAATAATGGAATAATTATTTTAGCAGTTATTATTTTTTTTTTTGAAAAGGTAAGGTAATTTATTAAAACAAGAACCATACAAGGAGCCTAGGCCATTAGAGGCTGCCTAGAGCCACCACAAATTACAGATACATCCAGTTCTGAGATCTAAACAACAGACTTAAATTCTGATTTTTAAACACCTCCGTTGCTGACACCCAGGACAGAAGTTTACCCACCGCTTTCTGCACCATTTCCTTTGAAGATTTAGCTTTGCCTTGAAAAATTCTGTTATTTCTTTCAATCCAGATAGTCCAAAGCATAGCAGCTGGGATAGTCTTCCAAACCGAGATACCTTTCTTGCTGAGACCCTCAATCTGCCAACACAACAGCAGATCCTTCACAGAATTTGGCATTACCCAGCTGATTTCCAAAGCTTGAAGAAAATGCCTCCAAATATAATTCGAGACTGGGCAATGTAAGGCCAGATGTTCAGTAGTTTCCACTACCC